TGAAACTATTGCCCTGAGATTACCTTTAAATCTTAAATCAAAAACATCCCCTGAAGTCTTCTTAAAATCAAATAATAGGTTAGCTTAACTAGTAAAAAATGTCTACCTTGAGCTCTTTTAAGAACTATCTACATGGGATCAAATTGACAACAGCAACTCAAAGATCAGGGGGCATCGAGTTTATGTTAAGAGGGAGAAACAACTCAGAAAAGGAAGGTGAGAATAGTTGCACAACTCAAAGAATGTAATCAATGTCACTAAATTGTACATGTAGAAAGTGGTGAATTGGTGTATTTTTGCTATGTATATTCTCAACAACAACAAAATAAATAAAATTTAAGGGAAAAAAGAATGAAAAAAAATTCTCCTGTTGATGGATATTTGTTTATTTCAGGTTTGGGGTTATTATGAATAAAACTGCTATGCATACAAACATTTTTTTTACATGTCTTTTGATCGACATGTGTCTCTTAGGTATTCACTGAAAGTGAAATTGTTAAGTCATAGGATAAGCTTAGTAGAAATGGCCAGGGGGCAGTTGTGAGTCAGGAGTAGAATTCTCGCCTTCCATAATGCACCTCAGCGCCGCTACCACCCATCTGTCAGTGGAGGCTTGTGTGTTGCTATGACGCTGAACAGATTTCAGCAGAGCTTCCAGGCTAAGATACACTAGGAAGAAAGGTCTGGTGATCAACTTCCAAAAAATCCGCCAATAAAAACCCTATAGATCACAAGGGCCCAATCTCATTGTGTATGGGTCACCATGAGTCAGTAGCCAATTCGTTGGCAGCTAACAACAACAGAAAGAGCCAAACGTCTTTCAAAGCAGTTTTACCACTTTACACTTCTATCAGCAATGAGCTCCAGCTGCCGTGTTCACGTGATATTGCGAGTCATTTTAGTTTTAGCCATTCTGGTGGGTGTGTAGTAGTAATGTATTGGTATCTTTCATTCTCTGCGATTTTGCTCATAGTTCTGGGAAGAATTCTTGACATAGTCCTCTTTTTCATTAGTTCTATTTTCTGCCATTTATTGGTCAGTTTTTTTTATTAGGCAATCAGGAATTTTACCTCTGATTTTTCCTCTTCACAACTGCTTGGTCTAGATTCAGTGTCCTCTTTAATTTGATTGACACTATAAAGCAGAAAGTTTCAAAACCTATTTTAAAAAATCATTTTTTATGTTGCAGTAAATTTATTTTCAGAGTAGGCATTTCTGGTACTTTTTTAGAGTGGTCCTTTTATTTCAAAATTCAGTCTTTTCTACAGTCTTTTTTTTCTTTTTCTTCCCTCTTTATGAAAGGAGATTGATATTCATCTAGGGTCTACACATAGTCATATAGAACTTCAGGAGGTAATTCTAAGACTGACGTGATTCTGCCTGATTCAGTGATTCCTCCTCTAAGTTCTTATTCTAGTTTTCTTTCCCAGAGTCAATTTGTGAAGCTTAACTTCTTAGCTTAATTTAAAAGTCTCCAGATTTCTAATGTCATGTAGATGGATGAGCACAAGCTTTGGAAGTAAATGGGTCAGCTTTAGAATCCAGCCTATGTTACTATTACTGTTTTGTTTGATCTTCCAATTTTATTTGCTATAGATTTAATCTTACTATTTGATTTACTCTTTCTAAGCTTAAAAGCCATCATTTGTAAAAAGGTAAAGTAAGTACATTTTATTTTCTCCTCTCATATGTCACAATGTTATTTCACTTTAACTAACATTTAGTCCTCTGCAATCACTTTATAGCGACCTGAGAGGCTCATATGTACTTCATCCTAGCTTGGAGACTTGAACTTATTTAAAGCACCCTGAAAATTTCTCCCTCCTTTTTGTTTGCTGTTACATTTTAAAATAAAAAATCATTCTTTTTAATCACAAAGGCTGAATTAAAACAGGAGCTGCAGAGTTCTGCTTCCCTGATGACAGCAGTGAAGCTTCTTCTCCCTGACATTCTTGATCAAGATGTAACTTTAGATTTTTCTTTTCTTATTGCCCGTTTCCAAATTCAAGTTTCCACGCCTTCAAGACAAGTGGAGGCAAAACTGGAGGAAAGGGATCAGGATACTTCGAAGAGGCCCCACCGAAGCAGAACTCATTCCATAAGGTTTTATCTGCATCTGTCACGTTCACATTCTAATTTCCCTTCCATTTCTTCCTGATTACCTTGCTGGTCCTGATCTCAAATACTAGCTTTGCTTTTGCTCCACCAAATAGGTTTTTGTAATTCCCAAATATTTTCCCAATTTTGCTGCTCAGGAGCCAAGCTTCCTATAAGAGCCAAGATGCCTCAAAGTCTAAGAAAAATGAATGACGACATTATTACTTTTTAACTACCTTTGACTAACAGGTTGGGGTGTTAAACTTATTGATGATATTGTGTATTACCCTCTCATATTTATCTTGTTTCTTGATTTTAGGTATCACTCTATCTTCTTTATCTTTAGGATCTCGTGGTCAGAATTTCCTTTATGAAGCTTCAAACACTCTTGAGTTATCTATCCTTTCATAGGTGATCTACTTCTCATAGGGTCATGCTATGGAATCTTGTTTTTCTATATACCTTCCAATTTGGGCACATGTCTGAATCTACGAAGTTCCTTCCTTCTTTGTAGCCATAAAACTTACGATTATTTTGTAAATTCCCCCAAAGTATCTGACTTTTTTTTTGTTCAGGCAACATTTTCTTTTTTAAAACTGTAAATATATAGATGACATAACATTTGCTAATTCAACATTTTTTACTTGAACATTTCAATGAAACCAAATTAAATCAATCATGTACACAACATTTTCCTAATTATCAAAATTATCAAAAAATTCAGACTACTGGATTCTTTCTTATTTCCCCCTTCTTTTAGGAGGTGTAATTGTTGGCAAGAAAAGTAAAGAACTTGTTAGGCAAACTGCTTTGAGGTAAATAAGACATGTATTAGAAGCCCACACTTGAATAGTCCCCTTTTCTATGTTATCTTGCTTAAACATTGTATCAGGAATATATTATGCACTTCCTCCTATTAGGAATTTCACACAATGACATATAACTTGTTTCTCCTTCTATCGTCACTCACTGGTTTTCCAGCATGCTTCCACCCTCTGGTACATTGACGTTGAGCAGATGCATATTTCCTGATATGCAGCACTATTCTGATACCTCTCCCACATGTCTATTCCTTTGGAATGCTGAAATATCATTCCACTGCCACATCCTAAACTTAAGTTTCATTCTAACAAGTCTCAACATTGTTTTACAACGAGATACAACATTGTTTTAAAATTTGAAGGTAACCTTTTGGTCTCATATAGATGGTTTTTTAATGGAGCATCGTACTCATGGATAATATCCTTTATTTTGTGTACCAGTCTGCTATCTCGCTAAAAGGTGACCTCAGGAGATAGTTACTCTAAAGCAAAGATGAGAAGATAAGGGGACAGGGAAATCAAAGTACTAGAAATGAAACAACCAGAATGCAATTAAAGAGAATGTTGACACATTGTGAAAAATGTAACTAATGTTGCTAAACAAATTATGTAGAAATTGTCAAATGGGAACATAATTTGTTTTGTAAACTTTCACTGAAAACACAATACAATATCATTTTTTAAAAAAATTCACAGTAACTTTCCTTGTGAGATACATTCAAAGAATTAGAATATAAGTATATGTAATTAAAATTATTTCTTTTTCTCTTTCTTATTATTTTTTCAGGCAAATAAATACATACTATAAGAATGTCTGGTAGAAAGTAGTGCTAAATTACTATTAGTTATCAATTCTAGCTGGACTGGAAATTACTAAGAACTTAACCATCATTTCAGTCTTTTCATATTATACTCTGAAATACTGGATCCATAGGTAATTTTTCTTCTTCCCATTTCTTAGTTTAAAACACTCCTTGTTAGAGAAAATGTCATTCTCGGCAAATACATTCTTCCCTTATTCTGTCCTTAATCCATCATTCCACATCTGAAATCATGGCCTAGAAATCTACAACTAGTTGTTCACCTCTTGAAGCTTCTTCCTATTTCTCTCTTCCAAGTCCAAATGAGTAGTAAAGAAGATAGGGATCACAATTACCACACTGTGCTAAGGTAGCAACATAACACCTGGCTTCCACCTTTGCCAAAGCAGTCAACTGCCATGTGTGCCCAGTGGTAGCTTCTTTTCTTTCCAGTTCGCCATTATATTTCATTTTTTCACTCCAGCTTATGACGAGGGTCTTGCTTCTACTCAGGTGCCTGATCATGCTGTCCCATGCTGTTTCTTATAAACTTTCAGATTTAATAAGTAAAATTATACGTCCAACAATACAGTTATCCTTCTCTCTTTCTCTTTTGTGACATGTTCCTGTTTTATAGTTCTTTGATTTATGGAACTCTTTAATTTCCTGGCTTCCCTTAAGTATCATTTCCTTCATTCTATCCAGAAGCTGTTTTTCCTAGAAAAGGAGACGTTAAAGTCCTTCATATTCTTCTTAAATATGAAAATGGCTTGAATCTGGGGAATATCAAAGCAAGTACCTGCTTGTATATGGCAAGAAGATAAAAATATCATACTCTCTGAAAGTCACTAATAAGTATTTTTAGTTTCCATGTTTCCTTTTTTAGGATGGCTATTCCAGGTAGAGTTATTATTCTCTGAGGCTCCCTTGGATGAGTAATTTGGCTAAATGGTGTCGTCAAACAGCCTGTTTCAGCGGGGTTCTTGTCACCTCTAGCTCCAAGAACCACCATTTAAGCCATTTTTTTTTCCTTCATTATCTTAATATTTCCCTTCACAGGCTGAAAATTTGTACTCTACCAAAACTAACCATCAGTTATTACCAGTGAACACCAGGAAAATATAGCAACTAGGTGGTATCCTCTCTTTGGTGCAATTTGCAACTATGACTGGAATTTTGGTACATTAAACTTTATTTGCTAAGCTGGAAGAAACCAAAAAAATAAACAAAGATTTCTGGCTATCTAAAAAAACCAATCATTTAGCATTCTCTGGATCCATACCTGTGTGTGTACTCTTTGGGTAGAATAAATGATAACTCACTTCCAACATCATTCTCCAAAGTAGCTGTTGGTATATGATGATGAAGCAACTGGGAGATTTGTTCAACATCACAGTGAGGTTCCTTCACCATGACTATGTGGTACCCCACACCTGAGAAAAGCCATTTAGAAGAATAAATAAAACAATTTTGTACTTTTCATACTTCTGCGAGACCATATGTAACTTTCTATGGTTTCTGTAAGCTAGAAGAAGACATGGCATGCCCCAAATAATTTGATTACAATTTAAGGATCTTAATAAATGCTCCTTTATAATTTCCTTAATTATCTTAGGGACTGATAATCATCTGGGTTATGAAGCCGGATAAAGCAGAGATAGGATGAAAAGCCTCGGTTATCTGACCTGCTGTCCTACTGACACTGAAATCTGAGAGGATAAGACTAATACTCATTAACAGATAATTACTGGGGGCCTATGACATGCCAGGCAGTAAATAAATTAGACAAAAATCCCTTCCTTCAAGGTATCTGAGAAGTCTTCCAAGATTCTCTGTCCCTTCACTAAGTGCGCTGCATTGGTCCTCCAGAAACTGGAAATGGGGTTGTGCAGCTGAGAAAAAATACCTCCAAGGCACTCCAGGACTTCGAGGAAAATACTGCAGTAGCATTCTGAAGGCTCAAGGAAGGGTAGAATAGCTTGAAAAAAGCCTCTGAGGCACATTTGTCTTTTACTGAGTATATTACCATTGCCCTTTGAAGGCTTGGAAGAGGGCAGCTGGATACTTGGATCTACACCAAGGTTTTCTACCTGAAAATGGGTATTTGCCACAAGAATAGCTGTGCCTACATTATGGACAACATGACTCGAATATCTCTACACTTAGTTAAATAAATTAGTGATAATTATAAATTATATTTACTAATTTTGCTAGTTATTAATGAAGTAGGCATCATATGTTACTAGTTGTTAAGAAATACAACAGTTTGGTAATCAGATACCTCCTCAAAACTGCTAAATGTTAATGTTTTTAAACCTAGATTTCCTCAGTTACTGTAACAGAGGGTCCAGAAAACTTTTTCTGAAAAGGACCAGATACTAAATATTTTAGGTTTTGCAGGCCAGACAGTCCCTGTCACAACTACTCAATTCTGCCACTGTAGTGTAAAAGCAGCCACAAATAAGTAAATGAATAAGTGTGGCTGTGTTTCAATAAAACTATATATAAACACTGAAATTTGAATTTAATATAATTTTCACATGTCATGAAATAATATTCTCTACATTTTTTTTCCACCATTCTCAGCTCACAGACCATACAAACAGACTGGATTTGATCCATGGGCTGTAGTGTGCTGACTCTTGCTCTGAGGAATGATCTTTAAATCTCCCTGTCTTTAATTATACTTTAGGTACAGAATCCATGACTTGTTATCTGTAGCCATTTCTAAACTTGACTCCTTTTATGGCATATACATGCCATCATATACACATGGCATATACATGGCATACATGCTGGTAATGACCATTCAGATTTCACTAACTGCCTAGTCTCCCTGCGTGAATGTGGCATTGTCTTTCGATCTTGGACATGAGACATCAGAATAACTGAAGGAGTTTTTGCGTCATCATTACAAAGACCAGGGTTAAGAGAAAAGATGTACTTATACATCTTTGCGTAAGTAAACCAAATGTAGTTTTGGTTTTCATGACTAGTACATGAGGGTCAAGTCATTTAGCTATATGACCATCAGTTGTCTCAACTGTAAAGTGGGATAAAAATTTTTTATCTGTTATATGCATGTTACTCTACCAGGCATTATCCTGAGGCCACTTTTAGTATTTAAGATCTCTGACTAAACCCTTTATTTCATGATAAGAAACAGAAATGAGAGAGCTACATTTATGCTGGATTTATTGAAAAATATCTAGCTAGAAAAGAAACTTCTAAACTTTCAAAATACAGAAGCTCAAGAATTGGTAAATATTTGAGTACGTATGAACCAATTAATAATATACACATATATGTTATATATATCTATAATATCACGTAACACATATACTAATAACACATATATTAACATACATAAACATAAAACACACATATATTTAATTTTAACCTTTTAAAGACAAATAACAATATATTATGGCCTTTAATGACATACATAGAAGTAAACTGTGTGACAAAAATAGCACGAAGTATGGGATGTGGGGAATTAGAAGTATATACTATTATAAGATTCTTACATTATATAAGAAGTTGTATAATATTATTTGAAAAAAGACTGTGATGGTTTAAAAGATGTTTACTGAAAATCCTATGGCAACAACTAAAAAGAAAACACGGAGGTATTGATAATAAATCAATAGAGGAAATAAAATGGAATACTAAAAAGTGCTCAATTCAACCAAAAGAAAACGGAAGTTGATGAACAGAACAAAGAACAGACGTGACCATTACAAGACAAACAGAAGATATCAATAATCACACTGAATTTAAATGGACCAAATACTCCATGTTAAAACCAGATATTGTTAGACTGAATAAATAGCAAGATCAAAATATATATTATTTATAAAAAACACATTTTAAATATAAAGATACATTATAAAAGTGTGGGAAAAGATACACCTTGAAAATGTTAACCATAAAAAAGGCAGTGCGGCTATATTAATACTAGAAAAAGTTGACCATATGCCTATCCATCTGCATACCCACCTGCCTGCCTGCCCACCCATCCCTCCATCCATCTATCAAATTTCATTGGAGAGACAACTGCATTCAAGCAAATTACAATTTCTGTACAAGTCAAATGGGAGAAATAAATGTAACATTAGATAATACAATAAACATAACAGTTGGAAATACTCTGAATAATTAAAATAATTAAAAGCTTTGAATAGTTGTGCCCTAATCAATGGGACAGAGGAAGCCACTGAAGTTTTATGTAGAGAGACACAAAGGAGCAAAATCATGTTAGAAGGATATTATTAAGGCATCAGTATCCTACAAATGATAAAAGAGAGACAGACCATATATTTGCTTCAGGAAGATTGAAGAGCCACAGCACTGTAGGGTCCCCCTGACCAAGATGGCAATGCGGTCACCCAAGGCATCAGCTTCATCCATACAGTGGGTGGTCAGTAAGATAGTACGATCCTGTTTATACTGCTGAAGGAGATCCCATGTGACCCTCCTTGAAACTGTGTCCATGCCAGATGTTGGCTCATCAAGTATCACCACCTGAAGACCAGAAGAACAGTTCCATGATCACTGTTAATAAATGCTATGCCACTCAGTGTTTTACCAGTCATGTGGATTACTCTAGTTTTGCTTTTTTCAGTCACTTGTCCAACTAAGTAAGCTAATAAGTTTAGACTACAACTGAATTACGAATGCTGGAACAATGCCAACCCTGTGACCATATTATACCAACTGGACTGAAATGTGAATCCTATCTGATAGTCACTTGGCAGGTTCCTTTTAGAGTGCTAGATCCACATCAGCTCTAAGGTTTGTATCAGCTGAATTTTTTTTAACCAGCTGCAGCAGGGATCCATTTTTAGCTCATGCTGTTTCTCTCTCTCCTTTTTTTTTTTTTTTTTTTTACCTTGGAGCCCCCTATAAGTGCTATAATGATGGAGAGTTTGCGCTTCATTCCTCCACTCAGTGACTGTGAAAATGCATCACGCTTTTCTAGCAGGTTAAAAGCAGACAGCATATGGTCAATTTCCATAGGACGTAGCTTTCTAGGTATTCCTTTTATCTAGAAAGAGGAGCCAAAGTTTACACAGTGCTTGTAATTTTATCCTTAGAAACATTTAAAACCAGCCCTTTTCTTACGTTATTGATATAGCGTCTTTTTCCCCTTGTCTCCCTTTATGTCTAAAGGAGAATTAAAACTAACTTTTGAGTTTTATAAAAATAAGGATATTAACAATGGGTAATCTACCGGAAGAACATGAACACAGTTGGAAAAAGGAACATATCTTTGGCTCACCACACAATAGAAATAAAGATGTTCTGATACTGTCAAGTAATTAAACAACAGGTCCTGCTGGGGACACAAGCCCAAGCTTTTCCTGATCTGGACCATGTCCTTTGAGGTGTCATATCTATTAATAAAGACCTTCCCACGGGTAGGAGGATAGAGACCTAGAATTAAGCAGAAGACATACAAAAGGTTAGCTTTCATGATAAAACATGATAATACACCAGTCATCAACACCTCAACTTTGTAGTCTATTTGTGAATTACTCATAAGAATTAGCAATATTTCACACAGAAGAAATTTTTGGAAAATAACAGTGGTTATCTTTTAAGTGAAAAGATTAGAAATATTTTTTCTGTGTTCTTTTTAAACAATATGTTCTAATTATTCATGATTATGAACGAGTATAAATAAATTGGGTAATAAAAACACTAAAAAAAAAAAACACTGAAGAGTTTTCTACATTAGAACATTTCAACACTGCCATTAACCATCTAACATCTGCGAACTATAAGCTGGGCACTGTCCTAGACTTTGGTAAACAATTAAAATTTGAAAATGCAGACAATAAAAAAATGTTATTTTTGAAGAATTTAGATTCCAGTTGAGGTAGATAACACATATTCAACAAAATAATTTAAAAATACATATATAACATTTATCCAGTTATAAAAATTAGTCAAGTTTAATGGGTAATATCAATTTAAATTAAAAAATGGCTCACTAATGCCTATGATATTGATCTTTAAGCATTCCATTTGATTTTTGACAACTTCCAATTTTCCTTGATTTATACCTCATACATTCCATGTTCTGATTATTAATGAACATTTGCAGATGTATCATCTCATTTTAAGTCATGCCACATGAGCAAATGAATGTCCCGAAAGCCTTACTCCATCCAAATCATTAAGGTCAGCTCTATTTTGAAGAGACAGCTCTTCCCCAGTAGTATCTGGTGTCTTCCAACCCGAGGGGCTCATGTTCTGGCTATATCAGACAGGCTCCACTGCTATTCATAAGGTTTTCAACGGCCAATGTTTTTCAGAAGTACACTGCCAGCTCCTTCTTCTCAGTCTGTCATAGTCTGGTAACTCTGATGAAACCTGTTCACCATGAATGACCCTGCTGGTATCTGAAATACTTCTAGCATCACAGCAACGTGCAATCATCACATTATGACACACTGACAGACAAGTGGTGAATTGGACAATCTTATGGTCTACTATTCTGGGAATGACAAATTGAAAAGGAATAGTGTTGCATTCATCATCAAAAACAGTATTTCAAGATCTATACTGAAATATAATACATTCAGTGATAGAATAATATCCACATATCCACAAGGAAGACCAGTTAATACAACTACTATTCAAATTTATGCACCGACCACTAAGGCCAAAGACGAAGAAACTGAAGATTATTACCAACTTCTGCAGTCTGAAATTGATCAAACATGCAAATGAGATGCATTGATAATTACTGGTGATTGGAATGTGAAAGCTGGAAACAAAGAAGGATCAGTAGTTGAAAAATATGGCCTCGGTGATAGAAACGACACAGAAAATCGCATGATAAAGTTTTGCAAGACCAATGATTTATTCATTAGAAATATCTTTATTCAACAACATAAATGATGACTATACACATGGACCTCACCCGGTGGAATACAGAGGAATCAACTCGACTACATCTGTGGAAAGAGATGATGGAGAAGCTCAATATCATCAATCAGAACAAGGCCAGGAGCTGACTGTGGAACAGACCATGAACTGCAAGTTCAAGTTGGAGCTGAAGAACATTAAAACAAATCCACAAGAGCCAAAGTACAACCTTGAATATATCCCACCTGAATTTAGAGACCATCATAAGAACAGATTTGACACACTGAATACTAATGACTGAAGGCCAGAAGAGTTGTGGGATGACATCAAGGACATCATACATGAAGAAAGCAAAAGGTCATTAAAAAGACAGGAAGAAAGAAAAGACCAAAATGGATGTCAGAAGAGACTATGAAACTTGCTCTTAGGCGTAGAGTAGCTAAAGCAAAAGGAAGAAATGATGAAGTAAAAGAGATGAACAGAAGATTTCAAAAGGTAGCTCAAAAAGACAAAATAAAGCATTATAATGAAATTTGTAAAGACATGGAGCTAGAAAAGCAAAAAGGAAGAACATGCTCTGCATTTCTCAAGCTGAAAAAGCTGAAGAAAAAATTCATGACTTGAGTTGCAATACTGAAGGATTCTATGGGAAAAAACTGAATGACACAGGAAGCATCAAATGAAGATGGAATGAATACACAGTGACACTGTACCAAAAAGAATTGGTCACCATTCCACCATTTCAGGAGGTAGCATATGATCAAGAACTGATGGTACAGAAGGAAGAAGTCCAAGCTTCACTGAAGGCATTGGTGAAAAACAAGGCTCAAGAAATTGATGGAATACCAATTGAAATGTTTCAACAAAGGGATGCAATGCTGCAAGTGCTCACTTGTCTATGCCAAGAAATTTGGAAGACAACTACCTGGCTAACCAACTGGAAGAGATCCATATACATGCCTATTCCAGAGAAAGGTGATCCAATGGGATGTGGAAATTATCAAACAATATCAGTAATATCACATGCAAGTAAAATGATGATGAAGATAATTCAAAAATGGTTGTAGCAGTGCAGTGATAGGGAACTGCCAGAAATTCAAGCCGAATTCAGAAGAGGGAGTAGACCAAGGGATATCACTGCTGACGTCAGATATATCTTGGCTGAAAGCAGAGAATACCAGAAAGATGTTTACCTGAGTTTTACTGATTATATAAAGGCATTCGACTATGTGGATCATAACAAATCATGGATAACACTGCTAAGAATGGGAATTCCAGAACACTTAATTGTGCTCATGCAGAACCTGTACATAGTCCAAGAGGCAGCTGTTCAAACAGAACTAGAGGATACTGCCTGGTTTAAAATTAGGAAAGGTGTGCGTCAGGGTTGTATCCTTTCATCATACTTACTCAATCTGTATGTTGAGCAAATAATCTGAGATGCTGGACTATATGAAAAGAACTGGGCAACAGGATTAGAGAAAGACACATTAACAACCTGTGATATGCAGATGATACAATTTTGCTTGCTGAAAGTGAAGAGGACTTGAAGCACTTACTGATGAAGATCAAAGACTACAGCCTTCAGTATGCATTATACCTCAACATAAAGAAAACAAAAATCCTCACAACTGGACCAATAAGCAACATCATGATAAACAGAGAAAAGATTGAAGCTGTCA